TCTGGCCGACGCCCGGGATGTCTGCTATCACTTCCACCTGAAGGATTGCTTTCTTTGTAGACTTTCTTTTAGGGGAAAGTATGCACGATGTTGCTCAGGAATAAGGATAATGAACGCTTAATATGTGCTTTTTAATTCTTGCTTTTCGGCTCTATCGTTATGTCTTTCTTTTTAAGCAGTATGGACGTTAGAATAAAAAGTTTATTAGAGAAGGTGAAGTATTAAATACTACATTTAGAAAACAGACTTTCAACAGGAAGAAATATAATGTATTACTAAAGTGAAAAAGTTGTTCATGATACCGCTTAAGCATAGTTATATATAGAAAATATTATAAACTTTCAGATTATATGTTGGGAGTGAAAAAGAAAATCACCGATATAGAAGCAAAGACGGACAGACAGAAAAAGAGTCAGATAGGCAGAGAAACAGGTAGAAAGGCAAAAACAGAGAAACAAAACGGCAGATAGAAAGATAAAAACTGACAAACAGAGAGGCAGACGAACAGAGAGAGGCAAATAGACAGGCAAACAAAGAGGCAGATAGACAGGCAGCCAAACAGAGAGGTAAACAGGGGAAGTCAGACAAACCAAGGACAGTCAGGCAGAGACAAACAGAGGCAGACAGACAATGAACCAAACCGAGAAACAGAGACAAACAGGATGACGGACAAACAGGCAATCAAACAAGCAAACAAACAGCCAACCAAATTAACAAACAGACAAACGCATTTAATTAACTCTCATATCTAAAGGTTGCACTAACGTTGTGTCGAGCGAGGTGCCGAGCGGGCCCGACACCTGACACCATAAGCAGCTTCGGAGACGCCAAGGCACCTGTTGTTAAGATGACCTCCCGCTGGGCGAACGCTGCGGACACCTGTCAAGGGAAGGTTTGTCTAGGCTCTTATCTCTTCTTTCAAATCTTTTCATCTATTTTCGTTTAATAGCTGATTTCGTTAAATGTCTTTTATCTTTTGCATGTCTTCGTTTATTTGTTTCTAGTGAGTGATTTCTACTATTAATTTCCGTTTGCTTTTATCTAGTAACTGATTTCGATGGTGAGGTATTGATCTATAAATGTGTTTTGAGTATTTTACTTTTTTCGTTGATAGGTTGATTGTTAAGAATTACTTCTGTGAAAATATGCATTTTTAATATAAGTTACTGTATAATTTTAGAAGCACAATAAACTGACAGTTGCAATTTGGCTAAATTCACAAGAACCTTTTATGATTTATACCATTGTCATTATCATCATACTACAATTAACATATCTAACAACCACACTGTAATTAATACATCTAATACTCAATTCATTCGGAATAAACATGAATCAGAGTGTAATCACCTGTCCAGCATGTTCGAACACGACTCCAGCTGCCCTCTTGTCCTTCGTAAATATGATCTGTTGACATAAATAAAATCGTCAACGACTTTCATCCTTTCTTTACGTTTCGGTAAGTTGGAGTATTTACATTGAGGATGGAGAAGATATTGAAGAATGCCAAGTGGTTAATGAACTGAATTTATGTAAAGAAATATTAAAACAATTTAGACATTTGTTGTTTTTCACAGGGACGATATGCGGTGAAGTTATAAAGAATTATTAAAACGATTTACTCATGTGTTATCATCACAGGCAAGACATACATATCTATCTATCTAGTTTTTGGGGGGCAAGTAGATCGACCTTCAAGACTGTAGAACTGTGAAGAATGTGAAGGTTTGGCCAAGAAGCTGCAGGTCTTAAATAGGTTTCCGCAGTCGAAGATCTAATGCCGTTCCCAATGACGTGGTAGGTTCCAGATATCCCTTTTGGAGAAGTAAATACATTCCTGAATATTAACTCATACCTCAATTTGATGATGTAAAACATGTTGGGAAACGTAGGAACTTTAGTGATAAAATATTTCTACTAGATACATCATATTTGTTTTATGCTCTTTCCTTTTATGATATCAAGTTTAGACGATGCTAAACATCCCGAAATAACAAATCCTAAAACCAACCGCATCTTCAAACAATCACAAAAAATATCCAATCCAATCACTCACCCCATCTCCGCATTACGCTTCAAATAATCCCAAGAACTTACCTAGTTGGTCAGGTCCGTTGGGATCGACCGTAGGGCAACCAAGGTCATGAGCAGCGTCGAAGAAGGCCTGCGTGAGACCTTCTTTCCTTGGGTGAGGGGATACAGGTAAGGGCCCTCCTCTCCCGTGGTATTCCTCTTGGATATGGGATAGGGTAACAGTATGATTAATTATGTGTTGTATCACTAAAGTATGAATCACGTAAGATTACTTATTTAAGATAATTGGAAGTAAATGATTGATAGGTTGGTGAAGATTGTACTATTGGTGTACTTGTTGCGATGATGAAATGGGAAGACCTTGATTATAAAGCCTATGCTCTATATGACGATTAAATAGCTAGAATCGATATTATTATCTACATTATATCTAACGTTTATGGCAGAAAAAATAATCCTCCTTCAAATACATATAGTCTCCCGACGTGCTACAAGTATGTTTTTCATTCCTAAGCTCACCTGTGTCCCCCATATGTCCACCACGAAAATCCTCCGCTTTCCTAAAGTAGTAGAGCACGGATTCGTAGTCCCAGCCAGGGTTGTCAAGCTCAGCCCAGTGATCGAAGTCTCGACGATTCCCACGAACGTAAAGCATTTCGTTGGTAGTGCTGGACCCTCCTAGAACGCGCCCTTGGAGAATAGGTGTGCTCTGTAGGGAAATTGGTCAACACTTAGCTAAACGTACGTATATGTATTTCAATAATATATTCTCAACTATATGCAGGTACTAAAAAATACTGTGGAAAAATTAATAACCTGAAGTACTAATTAAATAATTTTGTTACCTGGATAAATGGATACTTTTAAAAAATCATAGTGGTAAAAACCAACATAATCAATAAATTAATGTATGAATAAAGGAAGAGATAAATGAATATATAAACAAACAAATAAACATCACTATAAACATACACATAAACAGCAATATAAAGAAACAAATAGACAGCAATATAAACAAACAAATAAACATTAAAATAAACAAACAAATAACGGTATGAATAATAAATGAATACAGTCAACATCTGGGCAGAATAACAACACACCTGACCGTCATAATTCTTGAGAGCGTTCCTCTGACGCTCCGTGACGTAATCCCAGTTGTTGTTGCCCCGAAGGTACCCAAGCCCTTCGAGGCCAGGCACGTAGCTCTCTAAGGGCGGCGTCCCTCCGGCCTCCAGCACCAGCACGCGCCACCAGCTCACTTCGGCGAGTCTCGCGGCCACCACACTTCCGGCCGTGCCCCCGCCCACTGCGAGACCGAAGGGCGGACTCAGTGCTCGTTTGAGTGACGTGAAAGTTGAAAGTCGAATGTACTAATGCATGGAGGGAGAGGTGGTGGTAGGGAGGGGGACAGAGGCAAATGTAGATGGATGGAGAAATGAACAAGGGGAAAAATAGATAAATAGATTGGTAACCAGTAGGAGAGGAGGGAGGGAGTGAGGGAGAGATGAGGGAAGAAGGGAAAGAGAGAGAGAGAGAGAGAGAGAGAGAGAGAGAGAGAGAGAGAGAGAGAGAGAGAGAGAGAGAGAGAGAGGGGGGGGGGGGGGGGGGGGGGAGGGGAGGGAGGAAGAGAGAGAGAGAGAGAGAGAGAGAGAGAGAGAGAGAGAGAGAGAGAGAGAGAGAGAGAGAGAGAGAGAGAGGAGAGAGAGAGGGGGGGGAGAGAGGGAGGGAGGGAGGGAGGGAGGGAGGGAGTGAGGGAGAGATGAGGGAAGAGAGGGAGAGAGAGAGAGAGAGAGAGAGAGAGAGAGAGAGAGAGGAGAGAGAGAGAGAGAGAGAGAGAGAGAGAGAGAGAGAGAGAGAGAGAGAGAGAGAGAGAGGGATGGGAGAGGGAGGGAGGGAGGGAGGGAGGGAGAGAGAGAGAGAGAGAGAGAGAGAGAGAGAGAGAGAGAGAGAGAGAGAGAGAGAGAGAGAGAGAGAGAGAGAGAGAGAGAGAGAGAGAGAGAGAGATGAGAGAGAGAGAGAGAGAGAGAGAGAGAGAGAGAGAGAGAGAGAGAGAGAGAGAGAGAGAGAGACAAACACGCAAACAAGCAGACAGGTAGACAGACAGACAGACAGAGGAACAGAAACGGAAAGGAGAGAAAGTGTAGTATGTGTGTATCTGGAGGCTATGTGTGTGGGATTGTGAGCTTCGTTTGAAAATACTATAAATACTCATTCAATATTTTGCTTTATATAGATCAAATTTCGGAAACATAGACATTCCGGGTTTGTATTGTTGCTTTTAGTACACCGCTGCATAATACAATCTGAGATTAATAATCATATAATCAGGTAACGAAGTCAGGCCATAGTTCAATTTACTTTGAATACTTTATTTAACTCTTTAAAGCTATGTCTTGCGTAAATTACGCTAAAAATACTCATTTGCCATTTAAAAAGTGTCATTCATCAATTCACTTTCTTTATATTTCAGATTTTGTGCCTAAGGTTTATTATTATTTCTAGATGTTGAATTATGAAAATATCTTTGGTTCAGAGTTTTCAACCTGATTTTGCTTATTTCATATTTTCTGTTGTGTTTTAAAATCTGATTTAATTTTCTCTTTTGAGCCAACAGCAAGAGCGTTGCCTTAGAAAAAAAAAGAGAGTATATGCAGAATTCAACAATTTTTCACGTTTTCTTTAAAGATTTCATAGAAAACGTTAAAAATAAAAGGGTGACTTTACAATTATTTTGGTAAGGTTTGGATATTCATTTGATTTACATCTATTGATTCCTGTTTTCGTATTTCAGTATTGTGGGTACCTAAAAGCTTACATTACAGTTTTCTTAGAGTACACCATAGGTTATACTTGCAGAAAATCGGAAACCATAATATTGCAGACAATGAGAGAGTATATTCAGCGATATTAAAATGAATCTGAAGAAACTAATATTGAAGACAATGGGAAAGTATATTCAGCGATATTAAAATGAATCTGCAGAAACTAATATTGAAGACAATGGGAAAGTATATTCAGCGATATTAAAATGAATCTGCAGAAACAAACTGTTACAAGGAAATAAACGAAAACATATCTCGGAAAATGTCGTGTTCATCGCAGCAAACGAAACAGCAGTGCGGTAACCCTGTCTTCAACTGTCTCGCCAGCAAATTTGACCATTCTATTGCCACACTACTCACTGCTCGTTTCGGAAGTTAAATCTGTTTACTGTGCCACTTTCTTCTCTACTATACCGGTGAAAAAGAATCTTAATGAAATTGTTTCGATATCTAGTATAACTCTAAATTCAAAGAATAACTATGGTCTAGCTGTAGAAATTCGCCGGAGGTCCGTCCCTCCCCAGACACAATGAGATAAACCCAATTTGCGTTGTAACCTAATCATGTAGTTGTAGGAAATGGGTGATTGGAAGGTGATCGCGTTAGAAAGCTTTTTTTTTTTACTCATACGGCGATCAGTGTGGTAGTGTGTGCGTTTACGATGGTGTTTTTTTCATTCGTTTGCGCATCACTGGGTAGAGTCTTCGTTAACACCAAAAAAAAGGGCTTCCCACGGGGTTGCCTAAGATTGCTGGCTTCAGATGTAAAGTTTACCTCTGACAAGTATGGCCCTGTTATAAATATTTATTTATTATTTAAAGAAATCATGTCGTTTTTTCTTGTATTTTCACCCTGTAGTATAACCAGTTTGCAACATAAAAATACATTACTTTCCAACCCATTTCAGTAAGCTATCCGAGATGAGAAAAGTCATACCGTCAATTACTATTTATGTCAACCGTAATTTAGAAACTTTACGATATACTAGGGTTGAAAATTACCAAATGTGTCAGTAAACAGCAGCTAATATATCATATCTTTAAATCCCACCAATGCTTTGGTAAATGTTTAACTAAATACTACCTGTGATCATTTATAAAGACCTCTGATACCCTTAATAGCCCTAACCTTTTAAAAACAAATGACCTAAAATGAGCTCACTGAAACCAGGCCACTTACCGACAATAAAGTCGTATTGTACAGTGAGTCTTTCCGGAGCACGAAGATCCGAGGCCGCGAGCAGGGCTTCTTTCATCACCGAAGCCAGTAAGAACCGCAGGACAGGGAGGACCGCGTCGAGTAACACGCGCGTTGGGACGGAGCTGAAGAAATTAAACAT